AAGTCGATTTACTAAAAATATTTAAATTTCTATGTATTTTACATAGATTGTTCTTATTAGGAACATTTTTTGCGTTATTGTTCTTATTAGGAACAGTGTACCTAATAAGAACAAATTCAATTATTCTCAAACTACCGCTAATTACTTAATTAGTTTACGAGATAATTAGATGATTTTTACATCATTCGATGCAGCAGACATTTCTGCACTCAGATATGTAAAAAAAGTTTTTTTACCACGAGAAATGACTTAGTAGCAAAGGAATTACTCCGACCTCCAAAAAATCTGTTCTTATTAGGAACATTGACTGTAGGCTCATCTTCAAACTCGAATGAGACATTATTGAGATTGAAGTTTATAGAAAATTTCATAACGGTCTAACTCTGCTTCCGAAAGTTATCATGTAAACGACTGGACAGACGGACACACTAGTCGATTCTAGCAGTGTACTCACTTTTTGAGTACATTAAAAATATCGTTTTTTCAGTAAAAATGCAATCTATCGAACTATGAGTGGAAACCCAAAGCTTTTTTTCTTTATTTCATAGCCCTAGGTGTTTAGCATTTACCAAGAATTGGGTGGGGTGTGGGTTTGGGTGTGGGTGTGGGTGTGGGTGTGGGTGTAGGTGTGGGTGTGTGGGTGTGGGTGTGGGTGTAGGTGGGGTGTGTGGGTGTGGGTGTGAGTGTGGGTGTGGGGTGGGGTGTGGGTGTGTGGGTGTGGGTGTGGGTGGGTGTGGGTGGGTGGGTGTGGGAGTTGTGGTAAGCCTTCGTTAGACGAACTTGCACCCACCCACACTCACACCCACATCCACACTCAAACCCACATCCACACCCACCCACACCCGCCTCCACACCCACACCCACCCACACCCGCCTCTACACCCACACCCACCCACACCCGCCTCCACACCCACACCCACACCCAAACAATATTAATGCTAGACGATAGAAGGAACGAAAAATAAGATTAAAATCAATTATTTATTTGGATGGAGCATCAGACGCTCTACAAAATAGACTAATTATCTTCTTTTTCTCTTGCGTTTTTATAGTCAAAAATTTTATTTTCTTAGCACCTATCATGACAAAACCGACATTTTTTTTGTAATAAATTTTTTATAACTCAGTGATGGTATGAGCTAGAGAGCTGAAAGTTTTTATGGCAGTGAAGAGCCTTAAGGAGTATAGCATATTAAAAATTTATTTAAATCGGTTGAGACAAACAGAAGTTATTAGCGAAATACAACTGAACCATCAATTGTGCCAAAAAGTTGCAATTCACTCATATGCACTCAACGATCTATAAAATGACTGAAACATTAACTGGCGTTGAATCATTCCGACACTGAACAATTTATATTAGAATATTCTATGTTTATTACTAATTATACTATCCACCTTTTCAATTTGTCCTTCAAGAATATACGATTTTCTTAAGAGTTTTGTTGCATGCATCTACTCTCATTGTAAAATTTTATGCTATTAGAAAGCCAAATTACATTAATGTGCAGCATAATCATTTAGAAATTTTACTGTAGCTGTTCTCGTCTGAAACAAAATCCATTTAATTAAATAGCCCCTTTTTAATCATTTGAATAGCCTTTTTCTCTCGATTTTATGATCTAGCTCACTATTCATTACACGTATCGCTGATGAGTCTCATTTAAACGGTAAAAATATCTAAACAACAATATTACAGAATTTTTCTTTTGTATTTATTAGTGTAACACTTTGATTTTAGTGGCTTTTTATTCAAAAAAAACGATATTATAACCATCCAACAATCGGTATATAAATTAAATGTCCTTCCAAAGGTCTTTCTTTTCAGCTAAGGACATTAATCTCATTATATAGATTTCGACATTGAATTCCAATTCAAGTTTTCTATCTGAGCTTATTTTCATTATCTTCATGTTCACTATAAACATTCATGTTCCTTTTTCGTTATTCTTGCTGTCATTAGTACCTATAGCTCTGCATTGTAAAAACAAACCATATGACTAGTGTCAAAATACCAAGAGAAAAATAAGACTACTTACCTAGTGATATCGAAATATGTTTGTTGTGTAATATGAGTCGGCAAGCGACTTCAGCATTTATAGTTGTTGGTAAATTTTCTTTTTTCCAACATAGAATGCCTGAATCAACCAAGTGTGACTATTTTTCATTTGGAAAGCTTCGCTTTTTTTGCATCAATACCTGTAATTGTATGAAAAAACTGTGCTTGTCGTATACTTTCTCCTCACCTTGATGTGGGTTTTTTTCCCAATGTAAACAAACCAAACCATGGGTATTTTATCATTCCTTTTCATCGATTTCAAGTGAATCGCAGAGACATACACTTGGAATAAAATATTTTTGCATTGTATAGACTTGAGGATGGGTGTGGCTGGGTGTAGATATGGATGGGAGTGGATTGGGTGTGGGTGGGCACGGGTGTGGGGTGGATGCGGAGGGTGTAGGTGGGTGTGGGTCTGAGTGAAGGTATAATTAGAAACATACGCTCATACACCCACACCCACCCACATACAGCCTACTTTTAATGTTACTTGGAATCCAACTTTTGCGCTAGACTAAAGATTGCTCATATGGAACAATTGACATAAAAATTATGTCGTTTGTATTACAAGTGAGTTCTCTTTTTTTTCTATAATTTTGATCAGTTAATGTTTTCATGCTTTCTGTTTACTAGTTGACATCATATAATTCACGTGCCTAGTTTCTGTCAATGTGTTCATAAATCGGCGTTTCTTCAGGGTGTGGGTGTGGGTGTGGGTGTGGGTGTGGGTGTGGGTGGGTGTGGGTGTGGGTTTGAGTGTGGATGTGGGTGTGAGTGTGGGTGGGTGCAAGTTCGTCTAACGAAGGCTTCCCACAACTCCCACACCCACCCACACCCACCCACGCCCACACCCACACCCACACCCACACTCACACCCACACCCACCCACACCCCACACCCACACCCACACCCACACCCACACCCTCACAGCAATGTTAAATAAAATATCTCAAATAATAGATGATGAACAAAAAGAAATTAATATTTATGAATTATACAAACGATTAACAATGGATGTTATATGTAAGTTAATCAATCATATTTATAAATGCATAATAAAGAATATATTATTCTAGGCCGTTGTGCATTTGGTATTGATACTGATATGCAAAATGATATTAATAATCCATATTTACAAAAATCAGCTGCATTATTTAAAACAGATATTGATGACCTATTACTTTTTCGATTGGCTAACTTAATACCATTTCTTGCACGTCCTTTACATGATATTGTATTTGGTTTAGGAGATGTTCGTCGAATATTAATGAAATTAATACCTATATTAAATGATTATGTTGAAGAAATTCCAGCTTTATGGTTGATGAATCGTGTTCAAGAAGTTGTTGATCTTCGTATTCAATCATCATCAAATTCAATAAAACGCACAGATTTATTACAACTTATGATGGAAGCTACTCGTGATAATGTTAAAGTAAGTTGTATCAATGAAAAGACACATGCTCTTGGAAAGAAGAAAATGATTGCTCAGAATTATTTGTATACTGATTTTCGACCCATCCATTCTAGGATCATGTTGACGATCCATCAATTACAAAAGCATTACAATCAAATGAACTTATACCGAATATTTTTCTTTTTATGGCTGCTGGTTATGAAACAACATCAACAGCACTTGCTTATTCAACATATATTTTAGCAACAAAACAAGATATTCAAGAAAAACTTGTTGAAGAAATCGAAAATAGCAACTGGAATGATAATAATAATGGAGAAGAAGCGTATGATATAGCAACTAATCTTTCTTATTTAGATTTTTTTGTACGTGAAGTTCTTCGTATGTATCCTGTAACATCTAAAGCAATGACACATGAGTGTAATACAACAACTACTATTAATGGTCATATCATAGAAAAAGGTCTGTTTCATATAGAATTGATGAACTTATACACAGTTACATTTCGATTGACCTTTTGTTATAGGTAGTATTATTCAACCTGATGTGTTCACCATTCATTATAATCCAGATTTATGGGGTCCTGAAGACCCAAATGTTTTTTATCCTGAGCGACATTCAGTAAAACGTCATCCCATTGCTTGGATGCCATTTGGTGTTGGCCCGAGAAATTGTGTTGGTATGCGATTTGCTCTCATGGAATTAAAACTATGTTTAGTTCACTTACTTCGTCAATATCGAATATTACCTACTGATAGGATCGAAGAAGGTTTTAAACAAGAAGAACGACTTGTTATTCAACCAAATGCCATATTTGCAAGGGGGAAACAGCAGAGACTTCAGCCGTGAAGTCCCATGAAGTCTGTGAAGTCTCGTGAAGTCCCATGAAGTCTCATGAAGTCTCATGAAGTCTGTGAAGTCTCGTGAAGTCTGTGAAGTCTCATGAAGCCTGTGAAGTCTCGTGAAGTCCCATGAAGTCTCATGAAGTCTGTGAAGTTTCGTGAAGTCCCATGAAGTCTATGAAATCTTTTGAAGTCTTGAAGTCTTGAAGTCCTCTATTTTTTTCCTGTAATGAAGTCTCGTGAAGTCTCATGAAGTCCCATGAAGTCTCTTGAAGTCTCATGAAGTCTTTGAAGTCCCATGAAGTCCATGAAGTCTCATGAAGTCTGTGAAGTCCCATGAAGTCTATGAAGTCTCATGAAGTCTGTGAAGTCCCATGAAGTCTATGAAGTCTGTTAAGTCTCATGAAGTCCCATGAAGTCATACGAAGTCTTATGAAGTCTTATGAAGTCTTATGAAGTCATTTGAAGTCCTATGAAGTCTTCAGAAGTCTTTAGAAGTCTTGTGAAAATATGAAGTCACTGCAGTTGAAGTCTGTTGAAGTCTTTTGAAGTCTTTTGAAGTCTTGAAGTCTTGAAGTCCGCTGTTTCCCCCTTGCATATTTGTCAAGCTTGAAAAACGTTCAATTTGAAATAACTAATTATAACTGAATAGAGCTGTATATTTTAAATCTATACTTCATAAAAAAAGCATTCTTTTTTTTCATTTAATAAGACTATGTTTATGAAACTCACTGCAAGAAAATGAACACTTTAAATCTAAACACTAGCTCAGGAGTCTCGTTCTACAGAGAGAACAACAATTGAAAGTAAATCTATTAATTTCATAATCCGTGGTCTAACAAAATAAAAAATGAAGCCATTCAGTACATCAATTATTCGATATTTGTGGCCTTAAGTGTCCAGTCTTTCCCATACTTTTTTTTTGTTCACACGATACTCTTATGCGAGTTCTACATTTTAGCCCTATCGCATTCGTATCGACAGACATTTTTCTTTTGAATAAAACTATGACGCTAGATGATTTACCTCTATCGTACGTTAAACAGGTCATCCTAGTTGAATCTGCAGGGAGGAACAAACTGATTTCGTGATTTGAAATGGTTGGGTGTGGGTGTGGGTGTGTTGGTGGGTGTATAGGGTGTGGGTGTGGACATATTTCTTTTCTTGACCCACGCCCACACCCTCTTTTCAGCGCTTCTCGAACTTTATCAGGTTTTCGGACGAGATGTAAAATAAATAAAATAAAAACTATATAATTCGATAGAGTAATTGATGCTCTACCCAACTATATCAAAACAAAAAATCTCTGATGTTTTACATGAATACAAGAAACTGCACAAAACTATCAAAAATAACGTAATCAAGCTGTATGAAACACCGAAGTCACAATAAATATCATAATTTTTCCTTCCAGTTTACTATGTAATTTTGTGTTTGATTGTACCGATTTAAAATCCAATGGTTCGAGTATCATCAAATTTGCCTTCTGCTCTTGTGTACAATCTGAACGGTTCATAAATCACTTGGTGACTGTATTCAAGTCCAAGATCACATCTAAAACTGACGTTCTCAAATGATACATAGACCTCTGAAGTCCGATAATGACTATTTCAGTAAATTTTTGGCACGTATAATCCGGCTGATAGATGTCATAATAGTTAGCAGAACATGGAAATCTCGACTAAAATGAACTTTTAGTTCTCGACATGTTTGCTGTCTGTGAAACATTCGCTTGTTATCACTATTCTACAAAAATGAATTTCATTGAAAATTCAATAATTCCATAAAAGGATTTTCGTTTCACTCGAAAGTTTCAGCCTATGTGAGAATTCATGTGACCTATGTATGTCTGGGCGATATCACAGATCGAAATTCTATTGCTTCGATTTTCATAATATAGCTTGAAATAGATCAGATTGTCAATAGGATGAGCATAAATTCATGCTTGAAATTCATCGATGTAACCGTTCTCTGTTTTCTCTACTCTCATCGAGACTTACATTTGAATCCGATGAGCTTCATAGTGGAAAATATTGTGGTTAATAGTTCTATCTCATAACCAACCTGATGGAACGGACTTTCTGTTTTTTCCTTGAAAAAGATCGAAAATCAATTAAACACAACCATTACTGTTTACCAAATAAATTCTAGATAAATTGAAAGGGAAAGAGTAAAACTTCGTTTGATAATACTTTTGATTAGGCAACAAAGACTAAACTGCTATGCTACTAAATCTAATAATATTTATTAATTAGTCAAGAAAGATAACTTTGCCTACGTAATATAATCTTCAATAATTTTAAGGCTATATTTCAATTCTAGTGATACCTTCAGTCTGTATTATATTCTCAGATGTCCTTTCAAGTAAACTGATCTTGAAAAACGGAGTGAAGCGATAATCAATAATGCTCCTAGTAAGTGTCCAGACAAACATATCTATCATTTCTATACTACTTGAACGTCCGTTGTGCATGACTTCTGGCTTCTTTGCACTGTTAAAATCATTCTTGTGCATACATATTATGCATTAGTTTATTTTTGGCTTGATTAATAGATTGTTTTTTAATACATAAATAGAATATTGTCAATAAATCTCATGCTTTTCTCAATTAAAATTACCGTGCATTCGTATATATGACATAATAGTAATTTTAATATGTACTAAATTCTTACGCAAAGAATCGTCAGTCGGCTAAAAATTAACTGCAACAACTATTATGCATTTAAATTTTCTTGTTTGATGAATGAGTCATATCTAAAAGAAAATGTGAATACTTTCTGCTATGGAGAAGAAGAAAAGATTCTTCGTGAGAAAAGAACGAGCTGATTACATTTTTTATTGCATTTGTTCTTCTCTAGATCACGAATAACTGATTTTAGTTACGTCTAGTTTTTCATTTCGTTTACCTTTACCTTAATCGTCACAACAATAAAAGATTGAAATTCTGCAAAAGAATCAAAACAAAATTTATATATAGAACTCATTTTTAATATGATGATAAGATCTAAAAATTTGTATCACTTCTTATAAAATTCTTGAACAAATATCGACGATGGTAAATATGTATCGGCTGTCATAAATTTTACATCTGAATCGTTAGGCATATATTATTGTATTAAATGTTGAATGAATTCAATTGAAGTTGATTTCAAACCAAATTTTTGGATTGTTTTAGCTATCTCAGTAGGACTACGTTTATTAAAAACCATAATAATATCAAGAAACATAAAAAAGAACGATCCATTATTGAACAAACAGACTATTTATTTCTTTTGGAGCTCTGGAAAATAATTGCTTTCTATTCTTCTTGATAAACTTATGCGATGTCTAGGAGTGTATCTTATCGACCTATCATTTAGTGATGATGATGTGTAATTGTGTGCTATACTGCATCTATTTTATTTGCAGAAGAAAGCCACAGGCGTAAGAACAGATCGGTCGTAATGAAAAAGTCACAGTAAAATATATTGATTCGATTAGATCTAAAATAGATGATTAGGCTTGTGAAAAATGACGATGAATGTCTACCATTAAGCAGGTAACCATGATGTTCCAAAACCTGATGCTGGACCAAATTGAAAAGTAAAATGATTAGGATTTTTAAGAAGACTTTTCTGCTTATAGCAGTGACGGATGCCTCGAGCTAATGACTTATAAGTCATCACTTGAAAAAGAAAACAAAATGATAATAGAGTTTTGAATTACTGATGCATAAAACTCGAATGAATATACCTGATTTGAACTTGCGACCCTTGACAATCTGCCATAATTTGGCGACAGCTTCTCCATCATAGAGTTTAAAAATGCCTTGCTTTTTGTCAACATACGCAGCAATATGAACATAGTCTTTATTATCCAGCAATCGTCGAAAAAATTGATGTAATAATTTTGGTCGACATAGTTGTCCACTGGATTCATCTATAAAGAACCATTCATCTAGATTTATATATCCCAATTCAGTTGATTTTCGATCTTGACATTTCTTTTGCGATTTTTTTGTAGAAACTGGCAAAGTTGATGGATCATAATCGAATGTAAGTTGTGCATTAATATCAGGTATCATGTGGTTTGTTACAGTTGATCCAAAAGTAACATCTGGATAAAGGTTTTCTTCAAAATCTATTCCAATGATTGGATCCTGATTTCTCTGTTGATATTCAGCAAATTGCGTTTCAACCTGAAGATCAACTGCGATGGAATCAAATTCTGGCTGGTCTGTTAGGCGATCAATGTGGAGCAATGTTGATAGCGGCATTGAAGCATCTCCAAGGAACGTTGTTAGAGGATCATTCAGTTGTGTTCCTAATAATGGTTGTTGATCTAACCATGCAACAAGATCATCGATACTTTCAAGCGCTTTTTCTTCATGTGAACCTGTCCGACCAACGTATCCATCGAACACATTCAAGGAAAAGAGACTATTTGGCAATTGAGGGTGTGGGTGTGGGTGAGGGGTGTGAATGTAGGCATGACTGTTTCTTAATACACCCGCACCCACACCCATCCACACCCGCACCCACACACACCCACACCCACACCCACACCCACACACATCCCCACCCACACACACTCACACCCACACCCAACAATATTTGGGTGTGTGTGGGCATGGGTATGGCTGTGTTTATCCGTCTCAGTTGGAAATCCAGATACCGACACTCACACCCACATTCCAAACACACACCACACTCCCGTGATAGTTTCTTATACCAACACACGAAGACTTTTAACCGACACTCTTAAATCTCTCGCATTTCGTTATATTCCAATCTTTATCTCTATTTGTCCACTATAAAAGAAACAGCGAGTAAGGAAAACAAGAATATCATCGATATAAAGTAATAATATCATGAGAGAATGGGAAGTTTTCTTTTTGTTGGGAAAAACAGCTTTTCATATGAAGTAGATGATAAACACATATACAAATAATGGTTTTTGCACGATTTTAAAAGTATGATCGTTGTTATTCTTGTTTCATTCACTACCATCAAACCAAAGTTGTAATTCAAGGCATTCTTCTCGATATCTGAAGTTTCGTTTGGTCTTCTTGAGATAGCATATAATTCTTTTCCACCTTTTGCCTAATTCTCCCTTCTTCATACACCCTCGGTGTGAAAATGTGATACTCCAAAGATTGTGAAACCGATCTACAATAGTCTCCGCGAAGTTTGAATTACAATTCTCAAATTCAAGATGTTTTACATTTTGTGGAACTACTGGAAATTCATCATCGTCCTTGAGCCGAAATCCTAAGAATTTAAGAAAAGAAAGATTGCTACATTGCGCAAGTAAAATATTCATTTGGTTGATTAGATTTGAACCATGTTGGATATAATCATGGTGATCTATTTCAAGTGTTGTAATAGATGAAAGATTGATTATAGTAGATATTAATTCACACCCAACCGACATCCAATCATCGTGAAAACGAATTTGGAGACTAGTAACATTTGGAAATAACAAAGAACCTGATGTGTTTATCTTGAAAGTAAAGAAAGAAAACAAGTTATGTGATTCGTTGATACGCTAGAAACTTCATTAGATTTACACGTGAAGATAATCGTTTTTGAAATCTTTCAAACTTTGTCTCATGTTGATAATCGAGAGAGGTGCAAATTCCAGTACAGAATTTGACATCTCCAAAAAGCATATGGAACAGAGACTCAATTGGAGATGAAATTTGTTGTACTTCTGACTTCATGACTGATGAAGCATTACATAAAATCAGATGAGAATAAACTACCTGTTGCTGAAGCCATTTTTGAACTATCAGTACTGGTTCAATTTTTGATGAAAAGGCATTAAAATCAAAAATGTTTATTGATGTCATGTTTGACATCATTGGAAACTTCTTTTGTAACACGACCCTAACTAGATCGTTTGATATTGTACTTATTAATTATAAGGCTACTGAACTATGTCATTATCTAAGAGAAGTTCACGTGCAAAAAAGAAGGAATTTGCAAAAAAATTCAGAAAAGTTTTGCAACCATACTTGAAAGAGGTAGCAGAAAGAAAACTGTCCAAAATCTGAGTCTTTCAATAATTGAACAATAGTCAGACAAATTAAGCTTTCTTTCGAATGATCTATTATTCAATTGTGACTTTAGAAGCAATATTTTCTAGTCTTCGTTACACATGTTAAGAATAGTAGAGAACAGAGTTAGAAAAGGCACATAATTAATATATATTTTGGCTATGGATTAAATAAAAGGAAGAGATCTATAAACTTTATACTATGTTTCAGTGTGATCGAAGTTTGTTAATTAACCGATATCAAATATAGAAGAATAGTCATCGTTTTTTTAATTTCTTTCTAAACGACTGAACTGTTCAATATCATTTTCGAAAATAAATAAAACGATTTAAAAAAATTTTTTTTTGTCAGAAATTATGAGAAAGAAATCGTGGTCTAAACTATTTATGATCTATTTGTTACATTTCTGATTTGATTATGCACGATATCCTCGTATCTCCTTCGCCGAATCGGTTTGTACCTTCCGGTCTACGAAAAATATACTGTGTGTGTACCAGTGAAAGAAATCCACAATCGAATGTGTGTTTGTACCAGAGAACGCCGCAGGACGAATTTTTGCGTCCTGCCCTGCAGTCTCCATGGTAACAGCGCAGGTTGTTCCGCCTTGCAGGACCAGTCAGTAAGCACAAAACAATCGCCCTGCGCTGCTCTAAGTGCAGGGCAGGACTGCAGAACCTGCAGGACACCTTGTTCCATTGAATTTTTTTTCAGAGATATAAAGTTGTCAAAACATTTGATAATATTAATTATAGCAAAGATACTATTCGTAGAAAGATCATTTATCATAATTATCTTAATTAAACTTATCACAAGCTTTCTACTAGAAAGGAAATGGACCAAAAGAACTGACACGTATAAAATGAAAAAAAGAACCATAGAATAAGTAGGAGCATAAAGAATTCACAGGTTGATTGACACTAAAGATGAAGCACAATGGTGTAGGTGTGAGTCCTTTTTCAGACGATATTCACATACACTTACACTCAAACTCATAATCACACCGACACCCTTTGAACGTTCTTTTTATTAGAGATGATTTTAAAATGAGTTTGATCTTCGAGCAATACCGTATTTATACCAAGGGGATAAGTGCAGGTTCCAAGCTCCAAATTATGCTGGATGGTGCTGAGAAGGTACTGAGAAGGTACTGAGGTGCTGAGAAGGTGCCGAGGTGCTGAGAAGGTGCTGAGGTGCTGATAGGTTTTACAAAAGAATATATAAACTCAATCGCTATTATGTGACAGATTGACAGCACTCTCTATTGCATTCATTATTTTTCATTCTAATCTCAATGAACGTTATAAACGTTAAATCAGAAATTTACCCATTATGCGTTACTTTCTAACTTGAGGGTGTGGGTGTGGTGTGGGCAAGGGGGAAAAGACTAATCGGAATGGCTGCGAATGGTTGGGAATGGATCGGAATGTTGGGAATGGATGGAAACGGATAAGAATGGATGGGAATAGATGGCATTGGCTATTATTTAGAGCCACCCTTAGGTACTCAAGTCCTATTATTTAGAAGTGTCCTTAGGTCCTCATCGGCTATTATTTAGAGGTACCTTTGGGTCCTCAAGTCCTATTATTTAGACGTACCCTTGAGTCTTCATTGGCTATTATTTAGAGGTACTCTTAGGTCCTCATTGACTATTATTTAGAGGTATCCTTAGGCCCACAAGTCCTATTATTTAGAGGTACCCTTGGGTCCTCATTGGCTATGATTTAAGGCACTCTTGAGTCCTCATATGCCATTGTACGACTGTATGCTCGGTTCTTAAGTCTTATTAAAATCCCTCCACAGAATATTAATCTATCGTATAATAGAAGCCCATACGGAATGGAAATTCAGTCCGAAGATTATCGCTTTCCAAACATATTAGGAGTCCAGCTATCCCAAATGAGCACAGAACAGATGCTTTCAGAAACTGAGAATTGAACTCATTGCTTCTCAGTATTTAATTATAGATCACTTTTACATGTCTCAATTGGTTTGCTTTGTATACGTTTTCTATCAAAAGAAAAATCAGAAAAGCTAATGCCTTTCGAGTGCTGGGCAATATATACCAATTCGTATTAATATGGCATAGTTGTCCTAGAAGTATTGAAAAGGTTTAACGTATGGAACAACACCGTTCTCTTAGGTCTTTTTTTGTGAAGAAATCATGTACAGCTCAGAAACCAAATGATGCAAACTTATACTAATTTTTGTGGCAATATGCATAAACCTTTCACCGAAAAATAAAGTTTCTGAAGAAACTAAAGTATAATTGATACGAATTATGCACGAGTTCATCACACTTGAATAACAATGTCAGTGTGGAATCCTACGATATAAACTATCATAATAGTCAGGAGTCTGAACTATCCACCTCTCGAAAATGGGTGATCCCTGCTTTATAGTTAACGGATCACTGCATATTTCTCTGGCAGTACGTGAAATATATCCCTTTCCGTATCGGAACTGTGCATAGGTTTCTATGATCCTTTGTACTTGTGTGCTAATTGAATCTTAATGGCAGCTTGAAAAACAACGATTACAAATAAAGCACCTGCGTAAACTTATAACTTTCACAATAGAATAAAACCTCACTGAACTTTTATTGCAGAGAGACGGATGGCGGAAGGATTAACAGAGCATCAGGACCTAAGAGCACTTCTAAATAATAGTACATGGCGGGTCAAGAGTATCTCTAAATAATAGGACATGAGGACCTTAGAGTACCTCCAGATAGTAGCATATGACGACCTGAGAGTACCTCTAAATAATAGCCAATGAGGACCTAAGAGTACCTCCAAATAATAGCCAATGAGGATTCAAGGGCACCTCTAAATAATAGGACTTGAGAACCTAAGGGTGCCTCTAAATAATACCCAATGAGGACCTAAGGATACCTCTAAATAGTAGTTCATGAGGACCTAAGGGTACCTCCCAATAATAGCATATGAGAACCCGAAGGTATCTTTAAATAGTAGCCCATGAGAACCCAAGACGTATCCCAAATACAGAGACTTCAGGACCCGAGTACC